GCTGAGTGAGATTTGATCCTGATCGCCTTCTTGCTTTGTGTGTCTCACCTCAGAGTCCCTTTTCCCCCAGTGGGACCCGCGTCCAAACACAAGCTTTCCTCATCCGGCACTGTCTGATCCAGCCTCCAGCCGCTCTGCACACCAGCTCCAAACCACAGCCACTGTAGCTTCATTATCCAGGTTAAGGATAATGAAACTTTTTTTTTTTTTATGTGAAGTTAAGTGCAATTTTTCTCCCACTGCTCACTGGAGAAAGTTTCTTAATGTGTGAATTTCTTCAGTGTGTGGCACTGCACGTTTATGCTGACATGAACGATACCTCAAATATATATATATATATATATATATACAGTACATACATATATACATACATACATTATTAGGTATTTTATTTTACCATTATTGACTGTTTCACCATTCAACAGCAACAGTTTTGCAGTATTTATAAAAGCACTCTAAAATACTGCTGAATTTAACTGAAATTAACTGCAATTAATATACAATTAAGTGTCTGAAAACATTACATTCCGTTTGCATTCAAGTTTTTTTTTCCTTTCTTTTAAAGTAGATTATTTCTGCTTGAGAATTGGCTCTTTTGACTTGGGCCTGTGAGAAACACCTTAGCAACCACTTAGAGTACCCTAGTAACCATCTAGCAACACCCTAGCAACCACCCAGATCAACATAGTGTCATGGCAGTGACTTTTGCATTGGCAAGCACCGCTCACATTTTCTTCACAAAATGTTGAGTCTAGATGAGAGGAAAAACAGAACAAATCAGAAACAGGAGGCAATGACTAAACAAATACTTTGAGATTTTACTTGTGCTGTCAGTCTTGAGTTTTCAAATGCTTTCAGTCTTATTCAGTTTTGAGTATCAGTGGACTCTTTTTGGGATCCAGTTGGTTTTTCACACTTGAAATTGTCAGGGTCATTCTTAACCCTGAGTAAACATAATCCTGGGTTCTTTTGTTCCATATTTCACCATATTGCATACATTATCCTGGATTAGTAAGTAATCCATGTTAGTCAGCTTCTGAAATTTTACTGTATGCCCTCGTAACTTTTGTATCTCTATTATTTGCATATCAAGTTAATAACAGTGATTGGACAAAAACAGGTCATAGCGAGCACACAATCTGTTTTAATAACAAAGCACACAACTATTAAACAAGGTAAGCTAAGGTAGTCTGAAAGCTAAGCTAGTCATTTTGGTATAATGGCTGCAAAAATAACATTAAAAAGAGTAATAAAGCATTCCTCAAATATTGTTTAGTTTAAGATGACACGGGTCACAGTCAAAAACCTTTTACTCATTTTTGTTGGAAAAGACAACAAAAAAGTACAGTACTTATGGAAAGCTGCAGAAAACTACTGAACTAAGAGTTTCTCACATTGGTACCAAGCTAGATTGTCAGCCAGCTGTGCAAACACATGGATGAGGATTCTCTCTTGTTTCTGTTTCAGATTCAGCATGCGGAGAAGGCGAGATGCTGTTAACAAAGCGTGCTTGTGTTTTACTGAAACCGATATTCACATCCTGACCTGAAAAAACACTTATAAGCATTCACAACTCTGTCACTGAATCAATGGAAATCTCCTTCATTGTTCTGATTTTCCTAAATAATATGGTCATTTAGTGACGTTTCTGATGCAAAAAAATGGATATGGAGAGTTGATTTGGAAAATATGAATGTTTACCACAGTAAAAGGACAGATCTACCCTACCTAGGCGTGAGCTGTGACTCACAGATGTGAGCAAGACACAGCCATGACAAATGATTTTCTCAGACAACATTTTCCAGTTTATTCATGCACTACTAGAATAAAGGAGACTTTTGTGTATTGGTTAGTATGAAGCATTTAAAATGGTTCTAATATATAGTCACTATATGTAGAAGTAAAATAAACAGTTTCATTATTATATTAAAATAAATACTGAGGTTCAAAAGTCCTGGATGACTTAATGATAAATGAAATCTAGGCTTGTAAAAAATGTTTACAATTTTTTGAATATATATTAGGGCTGTCGTCGTTAAGGCGTTAACGCATGCGATTAATTTTACAATCCTTAACGCGTTAAAATAATGCAATTAACGCAAAATTACTAAAGCACAATTTCTATTCTAGCCCTTTAACCCAATTTTGCTTCTCTGCTTGTGATTAGATCATTTTAAGCTGCTGAACTCCAGGAAAGTTTTCAGTCCAATAATCCAGTAAGCGAATGCATTCAAACAATCCGTCCAAAACAGCGCTACTATAAAGGAAACCAGGCTGATTACATCAGAGATTGCAGAGAGAACAGAGACTCGCGTTGCGTTTTCAGTGAATTAATCATTCCAGCGTGTTTTTTCATGAAGTGTGTGATTAATCGCGATTAATCACAGAAAAAGGATGTGATTAATCAGATTAAATATTTTAATCGACAGCCCTAATATATATATATATATATATAGTATGGGAGGGTTCAGACTGTCAGACTGAGCTTTGTCAAAATGCTCCTTGAAGATTCTGAGGCAGATGAGACTAAAATTGAATCATTTGGCCTCAACACCAAACGATATGTCTGGTGGAGATCCAATCCTGCTCACCATCCAAATAACAGCATTCCTCCAGTAAAGCATGGAGGTGGTGATGTCCTGTTATGGGGTGTTTCTCTGCAGCAGGGACTGAAGCACTTGTCAGGAAAAATGGATGGGGCAGACTACCGTTAAATTCTTGAGGAAAATCTGCTGCTCTCTGTCAGAAAGTTGTCAATGGGAAGAAGGTTTACCTTCCAGCATGACAAAGACCCAAAGTACACAGCAAAACTGAGCACACAGTGGTTGAAGGAGAAAAAGCTGAATGTCCTTGCATGGCCTGTCAGAGCCCAGACTTAAACCCCACTGAAAATCTGTGACTGCAGTCCACAAACGCTCTCCATCAAATTGAACTGAACTTGAGCAGTTCTGCAAAGAAGAGCGGGCAAATATTGCAGCGTCTAGATGTGCAAAGTTAGTCAAGACAAATCCCAACAGACTAAAGGCTGTAATTAAAGCAAAAGGTGGTTCAACAAAATACTGACACAAGTGGATGATCCTTTTTCCAACTCCGTGATTCTGTTTTTTAATTTTTTTCTGTACTGTATATATTTGTACGAATCGTCTCAGACTTGTGCACCCCACTAGACACTTTACAGAGCAGAGCAATAATGTGCCTTCGACAGGCTAATCAGAAAAACATTCAGTAAGCACTTTGTGAGGAAAAAGTTGTGCCACATGAAAAACGCACAGGTTTACTTTGCTGAACCGCTGCACATTGAAAATAATCTTAGTCAAACAATATTCTTTGAATGAACTGTTTTTAGTTTAGTTTGAATCCAAAGAATGCTTAGCTTGGATGAAGCAAATCTTCTGCCCAAAGTCATGGTGGATGTGGTTTGGAGCAGTGAAGTTCATAAAGTTCATTGAAATAGATTGGCACCGAAATAGAGAAATTCCTAAACATTAGTAATACTTGCAGGAACCCCTGAAAGGTCAATGTTTTCGAAAATACAATTTATGACTATTGTAATAGCCACATTAAAATGTTCTTATATGTTGCTAAACACAAACACTGTTAAAAAACAAACTACAGACTGTAAGCAAACTATAACTTACTGTACCTTATGTATAGAAAAATATTATAATTAAAAGACAGCACATTCAGTCTTAATGTAAATTATTAAAAACAGAAGTATAAATTACGAATAACCATATAATTTATTGTAAAAAATCTTTTATATTTTTTATGATAAGGTTCATGCAACAATACCTTTCAGTTTTTTATTGTAATTTGTTATTGTAAAGTGGATATTATGAAAATGTCATAGGTTAATTAAATATGTCATTAAGTAATGTAATAGTACAGTAATGTTTAAGAACATTCATGAAGGTATTAAATTTCAACACAAATATTCCTTAAAAGTCCAAAGGCTGCAGAAAATGACAACCACAGACAGTAACATTCAAAGAGAAAGGAAAACTTGAAATCGCATCATATGACCCCTTTAAAAGAAAATGTATTATAGTTTTTTTTTAATTGAATGCAGTTAGTTTGACCCACTTCGGTAGGTCTTAAGTATATCTTTGTGTAATTTCATAATTACATTCTTTTATATTTTATATTTAAAATATGGTTGAAGTGTTACTGCTGAATGCACTAACAAGCATTTATGATAAATGAAAATATACTTTAATGTCATTTCTATTGAAACTTGTACTTCATGTATTTAGATATATATTTATAGTTATAAATATATAATGATGAAATTGCAGTTTAGTGCATTTAAAATATATTTACTTTAAATGTAATATTAGTGCTGTCAATTGATTAATCGCGATTAATCGCATCCAAAATAAAAGTTTTTGTCTACATAATATATGTGTGTGTACTGTGTTTATTCATTATGTATATATAAATACACACACATACAGTAAATATTTTGAAAATATTTCCATGTATTTCCATGTATATATTTATATTCTTATATTTTATATTATATATAAATATATTTAACATATAAACATAACATATTTTTCATGAATATATACATGCATGTGTTTGTATTTATAAATACATAATAAATATACACAGTATACAAACATATATTATGTAAACGAAAACTTTTATTTTGGATGCGATTAATCTCGATTAGCACTAAATATAACATAATGTAATAAATAACACACTACAGTTAAAATGATAGTACGTTATTATGTTTACTTTACTATGTTAGTCAACACATCAAAATAAGAGTGCACTTCTTTCAAGCATGACAAAAGATTAATAAAACATAACTAAACATTTTAAAGTCAAACCTTTAATGTGACATTTTTACACAGTGCACGTTTTAGTACTTAAGTGTCAGTTATGTTTAATACACTTAAGTGGCTTTTTATTTCATTAATTTCATATTATACGCAAGTACAACTGCTTTAAAAATATATACTTTGACGATTTGAAACACACTACAAGTGCACATTCAATACAATTCAGTGCACTTCTTTTTCGCAAGGGATATAAGGTATAGATCTTTTTTTTTCTGGAAAATAAGACAGTCATACTGATTGACAATGTTTTGCAGTGCATGTTTTCCTTCCGCTCCAGTATGTTTAGCTCAGCTGCACTCTGGATCATGATTTACTTTCACCATCTTATTATAGCAGTGTATCTGCACAGTGTCTGCAGTGTGTGTGACTGTTTATTTGCCATTTCTCTGTGACATGTAAAGACACTTGTCTATATCAGCTTGACCTGTCTGTGTTAGCGGATCTTTGCGTATGGTGTGTGGAGTGTGTGAGCGTCACACCATGCCGTTCTCCTGTCGCGGTTTGTGTGTGCCGCTGCTGATCTGGGGACTGTGCAGAGAGGGCGCCAGAGTGCACAGAAACCCAGCCAGCAGCGTCAGACCCAGACCGCCCCACGCACTGAACATGGACCAGCCGTACCCGTGACTGATGTCCTCCGGCAGGCCGTACAGGTAGCGCGGGTGCCGCGAGAGCTCGAAGTTAATGCCAGCCACACATGTGCACAAGGAAATGATGCAGCAGGTGCCTGTGAAACACAATCACAAACAAAACAACACGGTGAGTTTATAACAACACAGCAAGAACTCAAATGAGAAGAAAATGGAAGGTCAAGATTGTGGGATACAGTATTCCCCACGTGTATTCTGTACATACAGTAACACTGCATACTGTGTACAGTACTACACTTCTAGTAAGAATAGTATGCATTACAAACTTTTTCAAGGCAATATGCTATAAAATAATATGCGATATGCAGTTCCAAATATTTTATTTTTTCTTGTCTCAGTAATAAGCTGCCATCTAGTGCTCACTTGTCTCACCTCCCATCAGGAAGAGCAGTCCAGCGACATACTGCATCAGCTCATTGTGTTTCCAGCAGCCCAGCACACCAACGATCCAGCCAAACAGAATGATGGCCACAGCCATACCGATGAAACCTGCCGTCATCCGCTGCAAATCTGCAGGAGAAAACAGAGCGCTGAAGGATCGCTTGTGCACTTTATTGCAATGAATGTGCACTTGTAGTGTACTTCAAATCTTTTTTAAAAAAAGTACTTTCAGATAATATTAATGAAAAAACAGTCTGTTTCTTAACACACTTAAGTCGACTTTTAAAAAGTGCACTTTGTAATAAATGGCAAATTTTTAATTTTAAAGTACATTTTAAATCAATCTTTTTTTGTGCTTTAAAAAAGTGCACTTATTTTGATACTAACATACTCAAGCATATGTGAAGCATGTAACGTAAACATGATTAATAACTGTAGTGTGTTAGTCAATATCACATTTAACATTAGTATATTCACTAAACTGAAACTTCATCATCACAAATGTGTAACTACAAATATATTTAAATACATACCACACTTTTTTCAATAGAAATTACATTAAAGTATGTTTTAATAGTATATTTTTTTGCATTTGGTAGTAGACTTTTACCCATATTTCAAAGACAACATAAGTAATTATGAAATTATAAATAAAGATGCACTTAAACCTACTTAAGTGACTCAAGAAAGCAGTGTTAAGTTCAACTAACTGCATTTCGTATCAATTTAATTTAATACATTTTCATTTCATTAACATGCAATTAAGTGTCCTAAACATTCAGTATAGTCACACCTATAAGCATATTCTTTTAAAGTGTATTATTTCCGTAATAAGTACTGTTTTCAAAAAATATTCGGAGCCACTTTACTATGTACTAACATTGAAATTAATCAATAGATACATACTATACTACAACTTATTATGTACATACATGTTTTTACAATGAGCCAATATTATATACATATGTATACACACACACACACACACACACACACACA